TAGTGAGTCTGTTGTAGATCTGTTGTAGATCAACTGGTGAGTCTGTTGTAGATCAACTTGTGAATCAATTGTACATCTGTTGTAGATCAACTGGTGAATCTATTGTAGATCTGTTGTAGATCAACTGGTGAATCTTTTAATCTGTTGTAGATCAACTAGTGAGTCTGTTGTAGATCAACTGGTGAATCTGTTGTAGATTTGATGTAGATCAACTGGTGAATCTATTGTAGATATGTTGTAGATCAACTGGTGAATCTATTGTACATCTGATGTAGATCAACTGGTGATTCTGTTGTAGATCTGATTTAGATCAGCTGGTGAATCTTTTGTAGATCTGATGTAGATCAGCTGGTGAGTCTGTTGTACATCTGATGTAGATCAGCTGGTGAGTCTGTTGTAGATCTGTTTTAGATCAACTGGTGAATTTGTTGTAGATCTTATAATTATTGTATTCTTCAGGGGTCACCGCAGTGAACTAACTCGCACAAAGACTTGGTGATTGTTTTCCACCAGATGTTCTTCCTGACCAACCACAGACTCTGAGTGGAGCAGAGAGCTGCATGTAGTACGCCCGGGGGAGCAGATGGTGGGGGTAATGGCCTTGCTCAAGGGCATTGTGTGGGGCCAATGAGGGTGGAGGCAGGTGTGGGTGCTTCGTGCTGCTGTTGTTTGGCATATTGTTTTTGTACTGTTAGTGCTTAGCGTGTTCTTAGTTCATCTCTTGGATCTTATCACTGTTTTCCTTTACTTTTGTTGGATGTAACTGGGACACTGTGCACACAACATGCACCACATGTGGTGGAAGGACAAAGAAAGAACTTTGACTTCACCTTTCCCACCCACGTTTTGAAGTTGTCGGGCTGGGGAGTTGAACCGGCGACCTTCCAATCACAGGCCCACCTTCTGTAGCCTCTGCACCACTCCTCTTTGTTGTAGATCTTATGAAAGTGATTACTAAAAGTGTTTTCTGAAGCACTTTGGTATCAGGAAGACCAACAGAACCAGGTACAAACATTCTGTCCGTCTGACACTTTCTAAGGTTTAAGGTTAAACAGCATGGGATAAATTTCCATTGTTATGCTGATGACACACAATTATATTTGTCCATTAAACCCAATGAATCCAATCAGCTACTTAGACTACAAGCATGTCTTAAAGACATAAAAACCTGGATGACCCTTAATTTTCTCTTGTTGAACAGACAAGACTGAGGTTTTGGTTTTTGGACCTGAGCACCTTAGGAATGAATGTTTCAGTCTTTCTCCCTCCTTAGATGCATTAATCTGTCCTCCAGCTCTAATGTTAAAAATCTTGGTGTTATTTTTGATCAGGACATGTCTTTTATCCCCCACATTAAAAACGTTACTAGAACCTCCTTCTTCCACCTGCGTAATATCACTAACATTAGAAACATCTGATCTAAAGACGATGCAGAAGAACTGGTCCATGCATTTGTCACGTCTAGACTGGACTATTGCAATGGTTTGTTATCTGGGTGTCCAAATACTTCTTTAAAACGTCTTCAGTTGATCCAAAATGCTGCTGCCAGAGTCTTAACTGGAGTTACTGGGAGAGATCATCTCTCTCCAGTTTTAGCTTCTCTCCATTGGCTCCCTGTCAAATCCAGAAAAGAATTCAAAATCTTACTTCTAACCTACAAAGCTCTCAACAACCTAGCTCCATCTTATATTACAGATCTTATTGTTCCATATTTTCCTAACAGAGCACTTCACTCTCAGACTGCAGGTTTACTTGTGGTTCCTAGAATTTACAAAAACAAAATGGGAGGCAGATCTTTCAGTTATCAGGCTCCTCTCTTGTGGAATCAACTTCCAATCTCTGTCTGACACATTGTCCAGTTTTAAAACTGGGATTAAGACTTTCCTTTTTGATAAATCCTATAGTTAGGGTCGGCTTGGGTTTCCTGAGCTGTCTCTTAGTTCTGCTGCTATAGACTTAGACTGCTGGAGGACAAACTGACCACACTTTTCACTCTGCTACTGTCTTTACTTACTCTGCTCAACCTGTTTTGTATTTGTAATTATTTTTTCTATCCTTAACATGTGTTTGTCTTTCAGATACACCTGGACCTGGACTTACACCTGGACCTATATCTGGACCTGGACCTTTACCTGAACCTGGACCTATACGTGGACCTATATCTGGACCTGGACCTACCATTCTGTGTTCGTCTGTCTCTCCTTCCTGTCCTCTCAACCAGCCGGTCAAAGCAGATGGTCTTTTGTCCTGAGCTGGTTCTGCTGGAGGTTTCTTCCTGTTAAAGGGAGTTTTTCTTTCCACTGTCTCCACTGTGCTTGCTCAGGATGGGAGACTGCAACGAAGCCAAGATTCAACTTGTCTGCTGGATTCATTAGATAGAGAACTTTACTAACTGGCTTTTATGTGAATGTTCCTGTAAAGTCCCTGAGACAACTTTGTTGTGATTTGGAGCTTTAGAAATAAACTGAATTGAATTGTATTGAATTAAGGTTTATGAATTATAAACGTTTTATAACAAAGTTTTCCAGCTGCTGAGACGTCCCCTGCTGTCCTCTCAGAACAATAGGTCCAGTCTGTACAGTTCCACAGGTAAGACCATTACGAGTCATGCATTCGGCACATGCTCGTTGACCGACTGTTTTGCAGCAACCTAAAGCAACGACCTTGTACAACCTTCAGCTGGGGTAATAAAACGATTACGCTGTGCACTGTCCAGTGTGGTCCAAATGTGCATGAAGCTTGGTTAAATTCTCTAAAGGCAGCTCAGAATTTATGACCCTGACAACAAAGACCTCGTTGGAACGGCGACCTTCATTTGTGACCTTGACCTTGGAGCTGGGTTGATACGTATGAAGGTTCAGTAAATGATCCTGAGATGGTCAGAAGTTATGGACAAGAGAATTCAGCCGACATGCTACAAACACCAAGCAGCTCTAATCTGAACTAATCTGATGTCTGAGCTCCACCCAGACCTTCATCCCTCTGCAGCCGGACACTGGATCCATGTCAGCTGACTGTATATTTACTGACGCGAGCGGGCCGGTGGGTCCAAAGCTGCCGTGCACGAGAGGGTTCACTCAGTGGTGAGCGCTGTTTTTATAACTCTTTACTCTGAGCCGGCACAAATTATCAATTTCCTTCTGGATTATTCCGCCTTCCACCCATTTGTAATTAATTCTGACTCAGTCAGGTCACAACCTGTATGATAAAATGTTTTTAAGGAGGTACATCTCTCACTCATAAAGTGTAGTCTTAAATTGAAATAAAAAAAGCTGTGCAGATGTAAAAGGATTAAATGCCAATAAATCCAGATTAGTTAAAGAAAAACTTAAGTTTAAAGAGAAAAATGTAAAAGTATCCCCGTAAAGCAGACGGTTTATTTCTCTGATCAGACGAGAAGCAGCAGAACTTTCTGCTGCTCTTGGGCCAAACCTGGACCTGCAGTGAAGCCGGACGGTTGGCGGTCAGTAAATTAAATTATAAAAAGAAAACCTTCACCGTCACTAAAACAGCCAAACGTCTGACAGTAACTCAAGTGAGTTGTCCTCACGGAGCCGGCGGGACCTGCTGGTCCGAAACATTTGATGGTGCTCAGGAAATGAGCCTGACAAGATTTCAGACGTGTTTCTCTGCCCTGCAGGAGTTCTGCTGACACGACGCAGGAAGAAATCTCCCTGAGGTCCCGCTGGAACATGAAGGTTTGATAACAGGAACTTCTCATGGTGAACGTGGCGAGGAGATAAGACAAAGTCCAAGACTTTGTGTGTCCAACATGCAGCCCAGAGGAGGACGCTCACCTCACAGACGCATGGAGTCGACCTCTGCAGAAAGATGGCCGTCCTCCTGACAACACAAGAGCACAGAGTAAAGACCGAGCCTCGCCGCGCTCCAGCTTTCATCTTTCAACGATTATTTCTCTGCTTCTGGTCAGATTTTATTTTAAAAGCTTGTTGTTGCTTTTTTCAGCTTCCTTCAGCTCCTTCCTTCTCATTTCAGCTTCTTTTGCCTACAAAGTTCATGCTCAATCATCCAGGTATACCAAATCCAATAATTCTCAGTTGGGTCATCTTTTGCCTAATTTCAGCTTTTTTGCTTTCTCAGCTGCAATTCAGCTATTTTTCTACAAACATCATCCTTTTCATCTAATTTCAGCTCTTTTCTAATCTCTGCAGCTTTTCCTTCATTCTTTACACAGTTAAATCACATGGAGCCTCGAGGACTCATTTACAAGAGAGACCTGTTCCGGACAGAACAGATAAAGTACAGACAACAATAAACTACAGGAAAATGCAGTTAAAATAAGAGTAGTGTATAAAACAATAAAACAGGGTGAAATATTAAAAACAAGAACAAATGTGCTTTGATGTTTCCATTGACATTATCAAATGTTTGAAACATTTTAAACTAATCAAGGAGGACAACTTCAGTTCTTGGTACAAGATGTTCCAGGTGCAGGAGCTGAGCAGGAGAAGGTCTTGTTGCCATGTTCAGTCCTCACTGAGAGAACGCTGCAGGTAATGATGTCCTGAGAGCGCACGCTGTAACTGCACTGACGACGTGACATGTGGGAGGAGATGTATGAAGGCAGCAGACCAAGGAGTGATTTATAGATGAAGATGAACCAGTGAGAGAGCCTACGAGTAGATGATGATGACCACCTGACCACGGAGCACAGGGTGCAGTGATGGGGACGGTAGTTACAACCAGTCATGAATCTTAGCGCGCTATGGTAATTTTGTGCTAATTTAAGCTTTTTGTGCTTTTTCACAGCTACTTTCAGCTGATTTTCTGGTAACTGTAGCTGTTTTATTCTCTGTTAAGCTTATTTTTTCTAATTTCACCTTTTTAGTTTCTTTTGACTTTTTCTGCAAATTCAGGTTTTTTACGTTCCTTTCAGCTTTTTTGTTGTTGTTAATTTCAACGTTTCTGTTACTTTTAGCTTCTTGTGCTAATTTAACCCTTTTCATCTTCTTTCAGCTACTTTTGTTTTGGGTAATTTCAGCCTTTTCTTTCTACTTTTCAGCTGATGGTGTATTTCAAGTACACTTCAGCTTGTTTTTCATCAGTCTTTTACCAGGAAATTAATTTCTCTGGTGAGTTTTGATAATTATCTAAAGCTCGGCTCACACAGCTGAAAGGTCTTGACAGGAACCTGCGTCACGCTGCAGGATGCAAGACTGAGCTCGGACTTTCGGCTGCAGGAGAATCAGGTTCGACCTCAGCCCAACAAAAAAGGAAACGAGCGTTGGCTGCTGGTCGTGCTCCATCGGTGGTGGTGCAGCATCCGTCACTGAAGGAGAACGCAGAGTCAAGCTCTATCACGCAGCGTGAACCTGGCAGAGACCGTAATGCTGAACAAGAAATGTTTTTGATCCGTCGTTTATTAAAAAGAAACGTGTTCAGAGATTCAAATGTGTTTATCCAGCACGATGAAAGCACCTGTGGAGGAAGATATGAATACAAGACAGAGGCTCAGTGACAAACACACCATGTGGCTGTGAGCTTCATCCTGCCTCTGCTCTCCCTCTTCCTCCTCTTCATCAGCCTCGCTGCTCTGTCTTGGCTCCTGCACCTCCTCATCGTCCAGCTCTGAACAAGACTCCTCCCCTTCCTGCCACGCCTCGTCACCCTGACACTCCTCTGCTTTGATCAAATCTGCACACACACACACACGCACACACCATCATGAGCGGGTCACAGGTACAGCTGCAAAAACATCTGGAGTATTTTCATTTTCTAGTCAGGTCAAAGTGTTTTCCTGTTGAGAAGCACAGCCTCCTCCTTGAATCTCCACCTTATCGTGGTGGAGGAGTTTGTGCGCCTGAATGATCCTGGAGCTCTGCTGTCGGGGGCAGGATATTTGCCCCTGGTAGGGTCTCCCAAGGCAGACTGGTTCTAGGTGACAGGACAGACAAAGAGCGATTCAGAAGACTTCTATGGACAGAAAACATCAAGGAACTCGTGCCCCTTGCCCGGGCGTGGGTTAAAGGGAGCCCCACCCTGGGGGGAGGGGCTTGTTAGTGAGTACCTGGTGACCAGGTCTCTACCCATACGAGTACGAGCCGGGTGCGTGAGTCCATGGGCAGTGGCCGAAGGCGGGGGCTTGGCACTCTGACTCTGACTTACCAAAGCTGTCTCTTGGGACATGGAACGTGACCTCTCTGGTGGGGGAGGAGCCTGAGCTTGTGCATGAGGTACCGACTAGCTCTAGTTGTGCTCACCTCCATGCACAGCATGGTCTCCAGAACCAATCTCCTTGGGAGGGGCTGGACCTTATTCCACTCTGGAGTTGTCCATGGTGAGAGGCGCCGAGCTGGTGTGGGTCTACTTGTAGCCCCCCTACTTGGTGCCTGTGTGATGGAGTTTTCCCCAGTAGATGAGAGGGTGGCTTCCCTGCGCCTTCGGGTGGGGGACGGGCTCTGATTGTTGTCTGTGCCTATGCGCCAAATGGCAGTTCAGAGTATTTGGCCTTCTTGGAGTCCTTGGTGGGGGTGCTGGAAGGTGCACCAACTGGGGACTCCTTTATTCTGCTGCGGGACTTCAATGCCCACGTGGGTAACGACAGTGTGACCTGGAGGGGCATGATTTGGAGGAACGGCCTCTCTGATCTGATCTCGAGCGTGTTCTGTGGTTGGACTTCTGTGCTAGTCATAGTTTGTCCATCACAATCACCATGTTCAAACATAAGGGTGTCTATAAGTGCACTTGGCATCAAGACGCCCCATCGATCGATGATGAACGTTGTAGTCGTGTCATCATTTGATACAGCTGATCATAATATTCTATTACAGAGACTTGAATATGATGTTGGAATTACAGGAGCAGCTTTAAATTGGTTTAAATCATATCTATCTGATAGATTCCAGTTTGTAAACGTAAATAATGAATCTTCATCATACACCAAAGTTAGTCATGGAGTTCCTCAGGGCTCAGTGCTTGGGCCAATACTCTTTACTTTATATTTGCTTCCATTAGGTAAAGTTTCCTGATGCATGCTCAATAATCCAGGTAGAAAAATCCAAAAAAGTTCAATCTGGTCCTTTGGACATTCAAACAAACAAAAACAAAAAAAAAAAAATATCTAGAAACGTTTCGTCTCTCATCCAAGAGACTTCCTCAGTCTGAGGTGCTGTATTCAGCTCAGTCTCTTAAATAGCACCTTCTCAGGGTGGATCAACCAGCTTGATTTTCTTTCTCTCATCAGCATCCTGAATTCCAGCCTTCATGAACTCTGGAACTGCTGTAACTGCAAACTCTCCACCCGACTCCAACTGGAGGTGGAACCTCTTGCAGAACTCTCCATCATCAGCAGACTCTTCTCAAACTGACTGCTCACTTCTCGGTTGAACTAGGAAGTGCCAACATTTAAAGGGCTCACTTCCGGTTCATTTGAGAACTTTCTGATTGGTCGATTGACCAAAACAGAGGTGTGTTTTGTGATGTAAGGTGTTATGAAAAGTCAAGGAAAAAGATTAAGATTGTTTAAGAACAGACAAAAGATTGTTATGAAGAATTCAGACTTCGTGGAGTCACTTCTCCAGTATCTTGCTGTAAAAGTTAAACATGACATTTCTTTTTCAGTAAACTTGCAGTTGACCGAAACTTGAACTTTGACCAACTTCCATCACTTGCTCACTTCAAACAGACGATCAAGAAATTGAATCATTACTCTGTAACATATTCCAACTTGATTTCACTTTGAATGAGGATTAGGAATCATTATTACTGTTTCACAGTTAATAAAAATGAGTAGTTCACTTCAACATTTAAACATTGTTTGAACTAACACAATTTGATTATCAAACATTCATAAAATGGTAATGATAATGGAAAGTAGTCTTCTTTTACTTGATTAATTCAAGAAAGAAAGTCTCAGGATGGGTCAACCTGTATTTCTGGATTCAAATCAATGAAATGACAAGTTCTGTCCCATAAGGTCTTTAAGGTCAAGGTTTTGACATCAGGCCTAGTTCACTACAATGCATTAATCTGTCCTCCAGCTCTAATGTTAAAAATCTTGGTGTTCTTTTTGATCAGGACATGTCTTTTATCCCCCACATTAAAAACGTTACTAGAACCTCCTTCTTCCACCTGCCACTGTGTATCTGTTCCTACCAAACCCAGCCGGTCGAAGCAGATGGTCCTCTTGTCCTGATCCTGGTTCTGCTAAAGGTTTCTTCCTCATGAGGGAGTTTTTCTTTCCACTGTCGCCTTCATGCTTGTTCAAGATGAGAGTTCAGTGATGGAGTTAAACTCAAAGCTGCTCCTCAGATAAATAATGTTCAATTATTATTTTATACATTAATGTTTCTGTTCGATTATTATTTTATAGATGAATGTTTCTGTTCAATTATTATTTTATAGATGAATGTTTCTGTTCAATTATTATTTTATAAAAGAATGTTTCTGTTCAATTATTATTTTATAGATGAATGTTTCTGTTCAATTATTTTTTTTAGATGAATGTTTCTGTTCAATTATTATTTTATAAAAGAATGTTTCTGTTCAATTATTATTTTATAGATGAATGTTTCTGTTCAATTATTATTTTATAAAAGAATGTTTCT